GGGGGGGATATATCTGAAAAAATTGAAATTTTTTTTTCAAACACTCCAAAAGGGCGTTAACCCTTAAAACTAGAGATCATCCTTAGGATAAGGTTTTTTCTATGTCTGCATCCCGTGTATTTGTCCTTTCTCTTTCTGTTGCTCTCTCTCTCTCTCTCTCTCGCTCTCTCGCTCTCGATGTATTTTTTTGTCTACCCAAACGTCGGACGGGTTTTTTTTTTTTTTTTTTTTTTTACCAACCTTGGCGACAATGGATGCGCGTCTAGCGTCGGTCTGGTCTCCTGGCGTAATACGCCGCGAAGGAAGTTACGTTTCCACGCGACGTTATTTTTATACCAAAATGTACGGCGCGTTTCACTCTGTACTACTGGTGCATCTTAGGCGTAGCCGTAGGGGATGGACACGTGTAGGCGGATCTTGAGAGACACAGGGTATATTACGTATGGCTGTAGTCACTTTGATAATTGGCCGCTTTAGCGTTTACGATCAACTCAACGAATTGTTGTCTCCTATTGTTGCAGGTGAACCGGCCATTGACGATGAAGAAGGAAGGCATCCAGACGAGGAACCGGAAGCTGTCGTCCAAGAGCAAAAAGAAGAAGGCTGGCGGCTGTCTGGGATTGGGGGGTGTCATGGGGGATATGATTAAGGCTGGTGGACACCTGGACCTGGACAACAAGCCGTTCCATTCCGGTTTTGGATCTCCTATGGGTAAATAATTTTATTAATGATCATCCCAGCAATCTTAATGAAAAATTCATTTTTGATTTTTTTTTTTTTTTTTGGAAAAAGTGAAATTTTTTCAGTCAAGTTTTACGCACCTTGGTTAATAATTTGACTTTTTTTTTTTTTTTTTGAAATTTCAGGCACCTCGCAGCATCATCATACGATGCATCCTGCCATGCAGCATTACATGTACCACACGGGGGTTGGCGTCACCGGTGGTCTTCATCAAGGATTCGCACCCCCACCGGCACCACCTCCGATTCACCCTCATTCGCATTCGCACTCTCATTCTCATCACATGGCGAGTCTTCAGGGTCTTCAGTTGGCAGCCACGACGAATGCTATGGTGAGTATCCGCTGATGACGTCACTTGGTGGTCCATTCGATCTTTGAAAGTTGGTCGGTATTATGATGACGAGAAATTGTAGGTTAAAATGACCTATAATTTTTAATTGAATGGATGGTTGGTGAAGAAAAAAAAAATTTATTTTTCGAATCAAACAATTATACGATAATTCGATTAGGTATGTAAAACGTGTAAAATCCTTTGTCATGTTTCAGACCGGTTGGCGATCAGAGTACACATGAATTGCGATCGATCAGCAGCTCAGGACGCAGCCCACCACTCTGACATAACCCAAGTAGAAATTCTTGAGAGATCGGGCCGATCTCGTATATTGCTTCGAATGGGATCGGCCCGATCTCTGTACATATGTAAAGTATATATTAGGGCCATCGCGCCCCGGCCCCAAGTACAAACGAGTCTTATTATTGTAAATATACTATGATAAAAGTCGGAAGTTCCGAGGAAGGTAGTATAGCTGAAGATTCTGTGCGTGATTCCGTGAGCGAGTGAGTGCGTGCGTGTCTGGTTAGTGAGAGTGTAAATGAGAGAGAGAGAGAGAGAGAGAGAGAGAGAGAGAGAGAGAGAGAGAGAGAGAGAGAGA